ATTATAGGTAGAGCATCCTTTATAACAGAGGCAGAAACTTTGTCCACGCCTTGTTGACTATTTATTATAATTGGCCGAAAGAGCGAAGATAAAAACATAAACAAAATAGAAAAATATTGAAAATATCCGAAAAGAAAAGTGTATAATTATAATAAAACAGTTATTCCACTCTCTCTCGTCGAATATATGCGGAGCGATAGCTAGATATATATTCGACTCATTTTCGTAGAATAACTGTTAAATACCATACCGCCGCTCGATGTACAACCATGATTTTTAACAGACTCTCCATCCACTTGAAATATCCACAACCCAGGAACTTGATAGTTTGAAGTTGAAGTAATGTTGATAATGGCAGGAGTGCGAGAGTTTGGAATACTAAAATATCTAATCCCGTCACCTGCATTAAAACCAGCCTGAAACGGAAAATATGACATATCATATCCGACTCGAGGTTCGTGTTGGTTGATGTCGACAGTTTTATCGAAGGAAACAAGAACGATAATACAAAACGAAAGACTTAAATTGTATATTATTTATATGAATGGTCTATTTATTTTCTAAAATCATATTTGTTCAGTAAATGATGATTTTTTTTTAATACCAAAATGATCCTATTTTTTCAAAACTGTTTACTTTTGGGTGTCAAACCCTGATAAAGGTACAAGTATATAATAAATAGGTTGTCGTACTATTTATATATGTACTATTTATAAACCGAGTGAGAGGGCTTTATCGGTACATATAGACGCGAGCCGAAGGCGAGCGGCTATAGACACCGATATATAAAGCCCAATCACGAGGTTTATAAATGAGTTCTAAAATTCACCTTTTGTTTTGGGTCCCAATGAAATAATAAAAAATGTTAACTACAGTAGTTCTATTCAAAGTATTATATGTTTTATCGCCATGCAAACATACAAAGAACTTAATAGTTGTATTGTTTTACGATTCTTCCCTTCATTGATCAGCAAGAAAATTAATGACTGGACTAATTATCAAGTCATACAAGTGGTGAAGGCTATTTCAGATACGGTAGAGCACCTAGTCCCCAGGTCTCTACCGGCGCAACCGCGAAATTCAATATGGCGCTAAGCTAAGGAGTGGAGTTTAAATGTAGTTTTTATTCTATATTATTTATTGTTGTTTTTTTATCTTTTTATTCTTTTTGGTTGGTAGAACCTATATTCTGAAATGCCAGGTATCTTACTCTTTATCTGATTAATCTGAAAAAAAATTTATAACAGAATTTTTCGCAAACATAGTTAAAGTTTATATTCAGAAAATGTATATCAATATCTATATGTTTCATTGAATTATGCTTTAAAAGTAAAAACTAGATTGGCCAAGATAAGAAATTTTTGACACTGAACTTTTGTTAATTAATTATAGTTCTGACTTCAATTTTGAAAATTGTAATAACAGCCGAGTTTATATTCCATAATCCACAGAGCTTGAACGTCCATGCGGATAGGATTGGGCGATATTAAAAAATCAATTCACGATTATTGTCAAGGAAATTATCACGATATTCGATAATATCACGATAAATGCAATATCTTGACCCCAATTGAATGCATGGACTCCAATTCTTGTCTAAAGCATTGCTGCGTTCAAAGTTTTCACGACCATTTGAATTCGATAAATCTATGCATTCAATTCACAATTGAGTTACCTACGACGGTGGGCGATAATGACGTCATGTCGTTCCTGCATACGGAAGTTGTTGTCAGACCATGCGGAAACGTGGTGGTGGCTGTTGAACAAAAGATCCCAGTTCTTCTCGAAATGTCGCCATCGAGAAAAATTCAGCGCAGGGAAATTCAAACGCGCGCGAGCAAATTAACAAGTCAACGCGTTGTGAACGGTTGATGACGCAATCACGTAAGAACAAAATCGTGAACAAAATCGCCTGATGATAGTCTAGGAAGGACCGGATACTCAGAGTAGCGACATTTAATTTTAAGATGTAGACAATTTAATAAGTCTGCTATATTTTTAGCATTGAGCACTTTATACATCTACATAACCAAAATAACTTGATATAAAAGTATATATATATATATATATACCGGGTGGCCCAAAAAAAAGTACTCCTGTTTGATTCGTAATAACATCTAAACAAGTATAGCTTTTAAAGAGAAATAACTTGCATCAAATAGAGGAAGGACTAACTTAGACTTTGATATATTACAGTTGTATTTCACTTAAAAATTCACGGAGATATTAATCTTTAAATTCGGGATGATATTTCTGGATGTGTCTGAAATATGCAAAAATCGGCGTATCAAATATTAATCAAGATTTGCCCGACTGAAACATGCACTATTACCAGTAAATAAATGACACTTGACAAATTGTTTATTATGAAACAAAGTATTATTATATCTACAAAATACAAGCAAGATTCATTCGTCCGAAATTCGCGTGTGTTCCTAGCACGAATACGTTTCCTTATTTCATGAGACCACTGCATCGCGAAGGATCGTCATTGGATCGTTCGTAGTTCTGAATTAGGGCATGCTGTCACAACGGAATTGTGAAGCTCTTCTAACTTCTGCAACGTTCTGAAATCTTGTTAAGAACACCCAAACTCTTTTGCCGTTTCTTAATCTTGGCAAGTTTATGGAGTAAACTGAGAATTATATGAAACACAATCAAACCATACAACTCCATAAGACATAACAATTAAGCAACTCCCCAGAGACATGCAACATTTTTGGAACAAAACGTAACAAAATAGTAGCGTTGATACGGTGATGTGTATTTGCAAAAAGCAATATTATTTCCTTCAATAAAGAATATTCATCCTGCTCTAACCGAGAAATAATCTACTCAGTCTGTTTGAACCCATTAAAAACATAAAAAAATTAGGCTATTTAAGAATACGAAAAATTTAAGCGCCTGCCTTCCATGGTCAGTCTTTCATGTACATTTAAGTTTGCAAAGACCTAATATTAAATACTTGCATAATTTCGAACGTTCATATTTCAGGAAACAATGAGCTAAGACTTACATGTAAGATGTCTAAATCTACGCCATGTCCCTTACAAACCTTAACGATAATTCGCTGAAATACAAGTTAGCCTAATATGTCATTAAGCAAACAAACGCTGGAGTTAATATTTGATATGCCGATTTTCGCTAATTTTAGACACATTCCAAAATATGCTCCCCATTTTTAACATTAATATATCCGTGAATTTTTAAGTTAAATACAACTGTAATATATCAAAATCTAAGTTAGTCCTTCCTCTATTTAATGCAAGTTATTTCTCTTTAAAAACTTTACTTGTTTAGAAGTTACTACGAATCAAACAGGAGTACTTTTTTTTGGGCCACCCGGTATATATATATATATATATATATATATATATATATATATATATATATATATATATATATATATATATATATA